AGCGCCGCAAGGAGTGACCAGGAACAACGGTAACAAGCTGGCAGAGGGAAGGTTTAAGTTGGACATCAGGAGGCGCTACTTCACGGTCAGGGAGGCTAGGGTCTGGAACCAGCTTCCAAGTGAGGTGGTGCAGGCTCCCACCCTGGGGGGTTTTAAGAGGAGGTTGGATGACCACCTTGCTGGGGTCGTTTGACCCCAGTACTCTTTCCTGCCACGGCAGGCGGTCGGACTGTATGATCTGCTCAGGTCCCTTCTGACCCTAGAAACTATGAAACTATGAAGTAGAATTCACATATCCTGGTCCAGCTGTCTCCTTTCTGCGCTATAGTAATTTTCAGGCAAGAACAGTTGGTGTACAGGGAAGTAGGAGAGTGGAGAGGTGAGAAGAAACAGAGACTGTCAGAGAAGTCACTGAAAGGTGGGCAGCAATGGGCTGCAACTGCTGCTTCTATGCTATGTTCCAGTATATGCAGAGCTCATTTGTGCAGCCCATGGTCCTGACTCTGCTGCCTGACACCTACAGTGTAAGCCAGGCCATTGTCTCTGTGACTCGTCTATATTATGCCTCCACAATTCTTCATTATTCCAAACCCTAGGTGTGCCTATCGTATAAATTAAAAATAATTAGGGGCCAGCCCTTAGAGAAAGCTGTTGATCTGTATGACCAGTAGTACTGAGGCAGTCTGTGCTGAAACCATGCAGGTTATGGAAGTTATGGGTTTATTCAGGAAATATCGGAAATGTTCTGATAATGGCACTTATGGCACGTGAACCACCAGAAGAGGACTAAGCTACAGTGACACAAGACCAGAATATCCACCCACGCATTTAATAGGCTTTTTGATTCTGACCTAGCTTTGTAAAATTACCTTATTCCCTCAGCATCACACCTTGACTTGACTGGCCTCATCTCTCCCAAGTGTCTAGATGTAGGGCATCCCTATAAAATACTGACACCCTGAGCAGGGTTCTTCTGTCCCTTCCCACCATAACTGTCCTCCCTCTGTTCAGCTCTCTAACCCTGCTTATTTCCCTACCCCAATGCAAACAGGCCTTCTTCAGTCTCAGACTCATGTGCCACATAACTCTTCTGATTTCCTCTGCCTGAGAAGGTAAGAGAAGCCTGGTAGAGATGCAGCTGAGCCCAATCCTGCTGACGAACCAACTCAGACCAATTCTGCCATTCTGTGTTTGTACGCTGTCCCTCAGCTGAAACCTGCATGCCAAGCATCTCTTTGTTGGTGCATATCCTTGCAATCCTGTATACTCATCTCTTTTGACTTCCTCTTTGATCGTGGCTACTCTTAAGAGAGATGGGCAATAGGCAGGTAGAGATGGACCCCAGAGGGGAAATTACAGATAGCTCCTCAGTTCTGAGGCAAGAAGGAGGCTCTCTAGCTTCTTACCCCTGCCCTGGACTGTAGCTCCAAGGTTCTCTATTTAATCTCACCCTGGCTTAAAGCTTGGCTTAGTTTTAATTTATTCAAAAAGCAGCCTGAGAGCTTTGAACACAGCATGTCAGAGTTAGCTCACACCAAAAGGAAAAGGCCTCTGGAAATTCTGTGGTTATAAACTTTGCCCAAACTCACCAAAAACAAATTTAATACCAGAACCCACCTGACCTGGTAGAAACAACAGATGCATCACCCATATCAGCTGCACTACTTCCACGTGCGAGAGCTCCTCTGGGAGGAAACAGACAGGGCCGTAGGGAGAAGCTCCAGTTCAGACTCACCAATCTGCTCACTCCCTACCCTGTCATTCCTCCTTGCTCATTGTGCATGAACCAGCAGTGCACTGGCAGCCAAGAGAGATTGGTCTTAACTACGTCTGCAGTGGGCAGACTTGCTTATCCTCACAGGAACTTTGCTTTCCCCCACCGACAAGAATATCCTCGGTCCCCAGTGGAATCACCACCCCACGCAGACAAGCCAGTACACTGTCCAGCTACAGTTTTGAAGCTTTAAAAAATAGCAGGACCTCATTCTCAATGACTATAAAGCAAGATGTTCTCCTGCCCCACAAACCTGGAACCAGTGGCTGAGGTTGCTTTGGGCCCATTTATGCACTCTGAGCTGGAGATCAGCACACCAGGGGAATATATCCAGGAAAATCTAGACAAAGGATTTAGCCACCCACCCATCCAGGTGTCCAGCTGGGGCTTTAATCATCTTTGTTTCTAAGAGGAGGGGTCCCTCCACCTCTGTGTGCATTATAGAGCTTTTAACAGCGCAACTAGCCACAGTTGTTATCCACTGCTCCATATGAATTAACTTTTAAAGTGACTCTGACTGGCCACAATATTTTCTAAGTTAGATTTACAAAGGGCCTTGTGGCAGGGCACTGTTGGTGCCTGCTAAGAGCCAAACAAGCAGTAGGTGCGTGATTGCGGCAGCCATTTTTAGACGCCTGGCTGCCTATATCAATAGAAGAGCTGGTTGTTAGCAGGCCAGGTGGTTGGTAGGTATTAACTTAACTTGGAGGTAAGGGAGGCACTGTAGGGCATAGCGGGGGGGCTCCTGGTCCTAGGTGTGACTTAAAACTGCACCCTGCCGGGAGAGGGTGGCCTGGTGGGGCTTTCAGTGGTAGGGCAGCCCGCAGAAAATGCCAGGCCACTTACCACCCCAGTGAAAGCTGAGTTGGGGTGCCTTAATAACCCAGGCTCCCACAACTAGGGGGATTATCCCATAAAACGGACAGGAAGGTGGACGTGAGAGAAATATCCTAGAAATTCAATTCAGGTTTCTATCATTTCTCCAAAGGGCCTAACTAGGTGATCCTTTTCTACTACTGAAATTATTATGTGTGAGTCCATAGACACACCCCTTGGAAATGGCCCGTTCTTAGCTTTTCAGTCA